ATTTTTCCTGCTTCCAACACATCAGCTTCAAGGACTGAATGTTCACTTGCTGCCTAATATACCCCACACACTGACAGGTACCACTGTAACAGATAGTCAATGTTATTCACTTCACCTGCCAGTGGTCATAATGTTACTGTATGCCTGACTGGTGTATATGTGGCCACTGCTCAGCAGCACAGCATTATATAGGCTTTTATTCATGCCAGCTACCAGAACATTCAATATTTCTTTTTAGGCCTATGATGCTGACTCCAGTTACTGTCAATAAAACACCTCGGACATATTAACTGAAGTGGACAGTGTATAACAAATCAATATTTACTCTAGACCTCTAGACAGCCCTGATTTGTTTTACCCAAACTGAACTCAAACACGACAGCATCACTTTGCATACAATGCTGTGTAGTGCAGGTAGACTGATTTGGATGTCCTCGCAAGAAATATGGGTTATTTAATGACAATAAAATGTCATCTGTACATTACAAGGTTTGAAATGTAGCTAATAATAATAATCAGATAGATGTGATAATATTACAGTACTGGGAAGAAACAAGGGAGGCATCAAGAAGGCAAAAAAGAAACTGTATGTATTATACACTTTATGTTCATTGAGGAATCCCAAACGCTCTGACCTATAACAGCCTGTTCTTTTTATTATGTTGTTCATCCTAACAGCTGTGCCTCCTTAAGCCTAGAACAGCAGGTCAATTGCATTAGCCTAGGCCTGGGGTTATAAAGTTTCACAGCTCTTACTCAAGGATGAACAAAATGTTAGCAGGTTAACAAAGACATACTGCTGTGCTACCTTCCAAGACCTTCAATTGTAACCCACAAAACTACTGTAACTGACTGTTACCATGTACACTGTGTGCAAGATTTGATTGGACTCAGTCTGCAGGGTGTGCCAAACAGCTCCTAAATTACTTTTGCTGGGTCACACTGGGCTTTTAGGAAACCTGTAAATTGTAGTGAAGGTTTTAATCAGCTGTCACAGCTCTTCAGAAAATTGCCATTTTGTAAAGGCTCTTTCATAAACTACTCACAGCTAACCAATTGCATGAGTCATGGCGCGTGGGGAGAGATACGCGTCACTTGCTGAGGCAGAGCAAAAGAGGTTAGTGACTGACATTACCCTGAAAATCTTGACTACATTTTACTTCTCCTAAGACACATTTCAGTGTCTT